AGCACTTCTGCAAATATCAATTAATGAATTAAAACTCCAAACAAACCTCCTTCAAAGTGGTCTTCTGGCATGTCAGAGAGCTGTCATCTGCTCTCCAAATCCTTAAAATGTCACTGACCTTGGCTGTTTGTTTTGGCTACTTAGACGCAGTCTGTTAGTTAAATTTGAATTTCAGATAAGCAATGGATGATTTTTTTAGTATAATTATGTCCCATAGTGCATAAAGTCAGCTGGCATCCTGCATTTTTATTTGTTAAATCTAGCAACTTTGGCCACAGCTCATGTGACTTATCATGGCAAAGGGACCCTTGGAAGCCACCAAGATGTCCAGAGCATCTTACTAATCCCGAGACATAGCCCATAGTCAGCAGAGGCATTTTGCCTCTGGATTCTTTGTTCATTAAGCCACCATTACTTCTTTATTGCCACTCTGGTGTTGAGCACCCTCCCCTTTCTCCTCTCTCGGTGTTCTTCCTGGTCTGTTCTCTATTTGTATATTGAGAAAGGCCAACCTATTAGAAACGGCAGCAGGCAATCCAGTTCTTCTTCCTTTATACAAACTGGTCTTTTCCTTTAGATCAGGTTAATCTTTCCATTTTGGGGCTTGCTGATATCTGGATCAAAAAGCCTGGTGTTTCTGGAAGTTTAGCTAACTGCACTTCTCTTAAATGGTTTTTATCTATGGTGAATTGCAAAACCTCTCCACCTCTCCAGCCTAGTTCTTTTTGTAGGTAATAGTGGCTCATCTAATTACTATCAATTAGATAAATAAGAACACCTGACCCCCACCAACTCAGATTCTAATGGGAAAACCAGCCCAGATAGTGTCAGATGCAAATAGACTACGCAGGGCTCACTCAGCCTTCTGTGTGAGACAGTAACAGAGACCTAGTAGCTGCCCTGTAAAGTCATTTTGTTCTTTCTGCCCTAGATTCCAGGTGCTGCTTTTCTCTAGAGACGTTTTATGCTTGCTTAGTTCTCTATGAAGTCAACAGGAACGTAGAATACCAAGGAACTCTGTGAGAGTGAGAGATTTTTGACCCAGTTTGAATGTCCTCATAGTTCAGTTACCCAAAAGAATTCACACCTTAAGTGCACAGAACCTGAAGATACTAGAGCTTCACCTAAACTCACCCTAGGTGAAGGTTGCTGAAATCTTTTTCTTTACCCTTCCCTCCCCACTCCTTCCTACTATGTGTGTGCGTGTATGTGTTCCATCAGTGGCACCTTCAGAATCAAGAGGTATATAAAAACAGAACTTTTAATTGTTTTATTTGGACACGGAGACTTTCTTGTTTGTGAAGTTCTGCTTGGAACTGATCAGCTGTTACTGCCGATGACTGTTGGGATTACTTTGTGGAATGTGTAGTTTTTTTTAATGTGTAAGTAATTTTTAAAACTGCCATTGGCTGGTTACTAGATGTGCAGAGTCCACAGAGGGCAAAGATGATGTCCATCTTGTTGACCGTGGAATCTGCAGCGCCCAGCACTGACCTGGAACACAGTAGGTGCTCAACAGATAGGTGAATGAATTAGACTTTAGAGCAACATAATCCACCTCACTCTTAATTTAATAGAAGATTATAAATATTTAGGACTAACAGGGTTTTCTGAAGGCCTAGGCAGAGAAGCTAGAATTTATCTGTGTGTTGGGTTATGTTGAGACCATTTTCTACTCCGGCCCCCCAGCAGACATCTGGCCATCTTTATCTGTTGATAGAATGTGCAATGGAATATAAAGAAATATTTTATAGTAAGATATTAGGAAAATAAATCTCATGTACTTAAAACATGGGCTGACAAACCTTTTCTGTAAAAGACCAGATAGTAAAGGCTTTGTGGAAATATGGTCTTTGTTGCAACTATAATCAACTCTGTCCTTGTTGAGTGAAAACAGCCCTAGACAGTATGCAAAGGAATGAACATAACTGTGTTCCAGTACAGCTTCAGCTATGGACACTGGAATGTGAATTTCATATAACTGTCACATATCAATGGAAAAAAAAAATTCCCCCAAATATTTAACAATGTAAAAACCATTCTTAGGTCATAGGCTATTCAAAAACAGGTGACGAGCCGCACTTGGCCCTTGGACTGGAGTTTGTCTGTCCCACACTAAAAAAGTAGCTACTAGTGCCAGAGTTGGAGCCCTGGTGGTGCAGTGGTTAAGCACTCGGCTGCTAACCAAAAGGTCGGCAGTTCAAATCCACCAACTGCTTCCTGGAAACCTTATGGGGCAGTTCTACTCTGTCACTGAGTCATAATTGACTAGATGGCAACAGGTTTGGTTTTTTATTTTGTTGTTGTTTTAATGCCAAAGTTAATGCTTTGCTGGGGAAGGGGAGCGTGTTTGCTCTATCTGCATTATAGCATCCCTAGGTAGATGAACACAGAAATGAAGGACAAAGAGGCCTTTTCTTATGTCCCCCCAAAAATGTGTGTATCAATTTGGCTGGGCCATGATTCCCAGTATTGTGTGGTTGTCCTCCATTTTGTGATTGTAATTTTATGTTAAAGAGGATTAGGGTGGGGTTATTTAACAAGCTTGCTAAGGTCACATCCCTTGTCCAATGTAGAGGGAGTTTCCCTGGGGTGTGGCCTGCACCACCTTTTATCTTACTAGAGATAAAAGGAAAGGGAATCAAGCAGAGAGTTGGGGACCTCATACTACCAGGAAGGCAGTGCCGGGAGCAGAATGCATCCTTTGGACCCGGGGTCCCTGCACGGAGAAGCTCCTAGTCCAGGGGAAGATTGATGAGAAGGACCTTCCTCTAGAGCTGACAGAGAGAGAAAGCCTTCCCCTGGAGCTGATGCCCTGAATTTGGACTTTTAGCCTATTTTGCTGTGAAGAAATAAATTTCTCTTTGTTAAAGCTATCCACTTGTGGTATTTCTGTTACAGCAGCACTAGATGACTACTACAGTTGGTTAATTAAGTATTTAATTTGAAAATAATATCCATGAAAAGGAAAGCACTTTGCCAGCTCCTGTGAATCTATAAATACACTTCTTCTGTGATTTTAATGACACTGTAATCCTTTCATATTGACCCTTACTGAAATACAACTCTTGGGAAATTCCTTCATCTATGAGAGAATCGATAAATAGGACATGTTTAGGTTTTGTAGAAGCTAGAATATCTTCTCAAGGGTTGGTGACATTATTTAAAATAATGTAAATGTATATTAAAATCCCACATTCTATATTATGGATCCAACCCACATATCCAGACTTGTGGAATGCATTTCTTTCTAAAACACAAAGGGCCTTATAGCAGGTGGTATCTTTGTCTCTTGACACCAGTGTGTTTTAATAAGGTTCCACTAGATTTTCAGAGTCTTTGGAACTGATATTTATACTAATGAGTTGGGTTTGGGAGAGAAACAGGTAAACTTCAATTATAATGAGCTTCAAATTATGTTTATTTTAAAAAAAATAATAGCTCTGAAAAATACTTGGTTCCATTTGTCAGTAATTTCATATCTTGCTGCTTTCTGTGCCTGGTGTGTTAATCTGAAATCTTTTTGTCTGCTTGTAATATGATAGGCTGTTTTCCTGTAGTCCATCTGTCTCCTGCAGGAGGTGAAATAGTTTTTAAGAAATGGCTTGGGTTGGTATTATTAATCTTTATAGGCAGAGAAATTCCTTGAATAATTTAATAGCCAAATGGCATGAGGGGGACTTGGTATGAAAATGAATTTTCCTGTCAGCTTTTAAAATCACAGCGTGGCAGGCCTTTCATCTAGGCAACTCAGATATCAAAACACAAGATGTTTATGCTCTTTTACATAGGGTTTTCTATTTTGTAACACCTAAGGCAGCCAGGAAATATCTAGAGAATTTTTGTTTATTTTTTTTTTCTGTTTTAAAAAACAACAACCTCACAACAAACTAACCAGCAAAAAGAAAGCTCCTCTTGTTCTATGAAACAGCAGATGCTGACTTTGACCTTGGGATTTAAGGGCAAATCTGTTCTTGTTTACATGTCTTGAATTTCTTGGATTTGCTAGCATGACGGCAGCAGTTGGGATGAGTGCTTTTAAAATTATACGAATGATGAAAAAAATCAGTTTGCACAGCTGTTGCTAAAAAAATCCTTGTTTTCCCCTCCTTTCAGTTCATTAATATACAGGGTTTATTTAATTATTATTATTATTAGTTTGTTTTCTTCCTTAGTTTTAATTGGAATTATCCTAGTTACAGATGTCCCACCCTCTGGGTTTCTGGTCTTCCATCTGACACCCTGCTTCCTGGGGAGGACACCTATGGTTAAAGTGTGATGCATCTGACTTGCAGGGTCCCATTGTTCTTCTGTGTTGGGGTAAGGGAATACAGCCAGTTCTGTGTCAAGCAAGCCAGGAGGAGGGAGAATATTAATAACCAAATATGTATTTTTGTTTTTGACAGAGCCCATTTATAGTGCTGTTTGCTTGCCCTATCTTTTGGAAAGCCATTTGTGAAGGTAGCAAAAGCTTCCTAAGAAATATGAAGGCCAAGTGAAATTAGTCTATATGGAGTATGCCCACATGGGATGATGATGATGATGGTGATGATTTTTGTCAAAAGACCCTTATTAGCAACTTTTTTTTTTTTTTTTTTTTTTTTTTTTTGAGTCAAAACCAGTAGGTATACATTGAAACTTTTTTTCCCCCTTTTTTGTGTAAATCATGTATTTGAGAAGAAAACCTTGATGATAAGATACTATTACCTTTCAGCAACAAAGGAAGGAAGGAAGTGGTGACTTTATTCTTTCGGATCGCACTGAAACCGGGAATATTTGTGCTCTTTAAGTATCATAAAACTCAATCATATCTCTTTCCACATTATACTTTTCAGCCTGAGGAAGTGAACAGTGAGGTAGCCATATCAGTCTTTGTTTTCCTTCATAGGTAATTTTACTGAGGTATTTTCTTTTTATCTGCTGGATTTAACCTTTTATGTGTAAACCATTATAATGAAGCCCTTAGTAACAGTTTGTATAATTTATTATTCAATTTACAGGTAGAAGACAAGATATATCAGAATATCATCTTGGGTACAATAAGAACATTTAAATCAAAACCAGGACATCTTTGTTTTATTAGCTGTACCTGCTAATTAAAGAACGGATAAGCTGACCAGGTAGAATGCGCCAGCATGGAAGAAGCCAGAGACCCCAGGAGAGGCCCTCTCTCCTATGGCCTGAATGTAATAAGGAATACAACAACAAACAACAACCTGTTGCCACTGAGTCGATTCCGACTCATTTTGACCCTACAGGACAGAGTAGAACTGCCCCGTAGGGTTTCCAAGGAGCAGCCGGTGGATTTGAACTGCCGACATTTTGGTTAGCAGCCGAGCTCTTAACCACTATGCCATCAGGGCTCCAGTGTTCTGGTAGAGATGTGCATAAGCACATGATCAGAACCACAGAGTTAAAACTGCAGCTCTGATAAGCACAAGGAAGAAGAGAGAGATTTGTGTAGCCCACTCTCTTGACTGTAAACTCTTTGAGGTCAGTGGCAGCCTCTTGCTTTGTGGAGAAAGCAGTAGGATAAACCAACTATATAGCCACATAGGTGAGCGTGTACCCCCCAGTATGTGGTCGTAGCTCATATGAACTGGTACAGAACATTCCAATGCAATGATGTTTTGGTAAATAAATGAATTTGGATGAATGAATGAATGGAATATTGTATTTACTCTCTTCAATGCGAAGAAACCAGGGTGAGTTCATGACATTTGTTCTGGTCCAACACATTGTTTAGAGGAGAAAATATGGATTCACAGTTAACAATATCATCATCAGATGAGGAGACTGAACTGAATTGCATAATACCCACGGGATGCTGTGTTTAGAAATAAATCTGTGTGTCACTGTGGCTCATGAGGGGTTATAAAAATGCTAGATTCACTAAATATTGAAATATTAGCAACTCTTCCCCCTCTCTCTCAAAAGGAGGATTTTAGATCTCGTGTCGCCAGCCCCCACTTCCTAGGCAATTTGTATTTGTTGAATGGCTCACTTCTAGATAAAGCAGCAATTAAACTTTTCATTTTCTTTTTGAGGAGAGTTGTTGTTAATGATTGTTAGAATTTTTGTTGCATTTTATATTTTCAGAGTGTTTTGTAGTTGTTACATGAGTTCCATAGCACTCAGGAATTTGGGATGTTGTACTGTTGTTTGTTTGTAAAGGGAAAATAAAGAACGAAAATGTTCAATGACAGTTGAAAGCTACACAAATCAGATATTCATTTATCTGGGGTACTGCTTCTCTTCTTCTGCCTAGAGACCCTTCGTCTCCTTCTTTTGCCTTCTGAATCTTTCTCCTCACTCAGAATCTACTTCAACGCCACCTCTATAGAGCCTCTGTAACCTCTTAAAGTCTCATAAATCTCCATTGCACTTTATAATATGAGGTTTTGTTTATGTTCTCCCCCACACCGGCACACACGCAGATTATGAATCCCTGGAGGACAGATAGCCAAACTCATCCAGTAGGCATACTCTTAAAAGAGCGAGTGAATAAATGAGTGAATGAGTGAACAAAACTCCCAGAGCTGTTAGATTAAATATCCCCAGTCTTTTAGCAGCTACTTCTCATTTTATAGGAGCCCTGGTGGTGCAGTGTTTAAGAGCTACGGCTGCTGACTACAAGGTTGACAGTTCAAATCTACCAACTGCTCCTTGCAACCCTTTGGGGCAGTGCTGCTCTGTCTTGTAGGGTTGCTATGAGTTAGAATTGACTTCATGGCAATAGGTTTCCCATTTTATAGATTCAAGACCATGTCTGTGAAGCTCTGAAGTGAGTCCCTAGGCAAATGCCAGAGAGGCAGGAAGTGGATTGCAGCCCCAGCTTGGAGAACTCCAAGCTAGCCTTTAGGCTTTATCAGAATATCCTTGGTATCCCAAAAGTTGAGTCAGATATTTTCACAGGCTCTCCTTTTAAGACCATTTCTCAGAGGTTGCAGCCAAAAGCCTTAGGGTCATAGCAGATAGAACAGTCTGGGTTGGCCACTGTGGCTATTAGTGGCAGAGTGATGCTGAAGTAGACATTATGGAGTGTAGTTCTAGTCTGACACATATGGGGTCACCATAAATTGGAATCCACTGGACGGCAACTGGTGCTGGTCAGGGTTCTCCTAATCCAGAAATCTCAGATGCCCAAAGCCTGACTGTATTAAGGGATGTGGTTCTAAGGTGATGCCAGTAACAAGAGGCTGTAGTGGTCCTCACCTCTGGAGAACGTGGCTTGTTTTACTCATGATCTTTACTTTTCCTCTATGTATTTTTGAACATCCTATGATATGACACCAATAATTCAACATTTATTGAGCACCTAAAACATTCAATATAGAATGTTTAAATTAAATTAGCCTCGGTATCTCTGTATTCTTTCCTACCTGTGTCTTCCTCTTCTTTGTGTGTCACCCCCACTGGAGCACCTATCCTAGAGCCTCACATGTATCTCACGCATCATGACTGAATGAAGGAACACTCTCCTGTGCTGACGCCCAATAGGCACTTAGCAGAACTTACAGGCTAGTTCTCAGGGCACTCAACATGGTACAGAACAGAGAGAAAGGATAGTCTTTGAGCAGTTAATTTAGCATAATCAGTGATTTATCCAAGGGAATGCATTTTCAGAGAATACTTGTATTTGCGTTGATTCTCAAGGTGAGGTAGCGGGATTGCTGCTCTCAGAGTGATAGGTCTGCTCTTTTTGTATATAGCTCCCCACCTCCTCTCATTGTTTAAGTGTTGGGACCCTTTTTCTCCCGCCCCTCACCCAAAGTAGAATCCTACTTTGAGGGAACATAACTGTGTGTTTGTTATTTCATAGTTTATGATTTTTTTTAAAATCATAAGTGAACTGCTAATTGTTAGAATTATTTTAATGATAAGTGAAATTCTCACTGTTAAAATGATCTGTACTTACACAAGAATACTCCTTTATGGAACATCAGACTAATGACAACAGGAACAATTACAGACTTTGCTGTCTAGGACTGGCAGGTAAGGAGAGCAGAAGTAAGCCATTTTGGGAACCATCTCTACCATTAATTCTGTGTTTCCTTCCCTGCTTGTCCCTAACTTCTTAACTCCCACAGTTTTCCTAATCTTCAAAATGTGTAGGCTGAAGTTCAGAATCTCTAAATTGCCTTCTGGATCTACTGACTATTGTTATGTGATTCTAAAGAAAAAAACAAACAAAAACCAAAACCTCTTGCTATTGAGTTGATTTCAGTTCATGGTGACCCCATGTGTGTTAGTGTAGAACTGTGCTCCATGGGATCTTCAGATGGTTTATTTTTCAGCAATAGATTGCTAGGCCTTTCTTCTGCAGCCCCTCGACGCCACCCTTTTAGTTTACAGCTGAGTGCATTAATTGCACCATCCAGGGACTCCTCTGTCATTCTAGCTATGTGTAATTCTAGTTTTTTTTTTTTTTTAAGATAAAAGTTGGTAAACAGTACAAATAATGACAAAGATAAATTTTTCAAAATTGGACAAGCTGAGATCCTTGGTGGTAATCTTCCTGGTTTTGAATTTATAAACCACCTGCTGGTAAAATCTCTTTAGTTTCTAAGCATTTTCATTCTTACTTTCTCCTTTTCAAAACGCTGTCTCTGTGATTGCAAAGCGAGTCCCCGGAAATGTAATTTCTTCTTCGGTGTAGCATGCTGAGCAGCTGCGGAGGCCACGTGGAGAACTTAAGCACACACATATCTTGAAGGTCAAAAGTACATTTAATGGCACTCTGTGGTCCAATATGCTCATCTTTAGGCATTAGCAATTGCCATGAATATCCGAGATGCCCCACGTGGGAGCTCCTGGATTCAGGCCATAAACCAGAATTCGAGAATATGCATCTTGTAAAAGCCAAAGCAGTTAGTGTTGTCAGAGACACACAGGTAATGCTGCTGAATTAATGAACTGGGCATTGTGCCATGCCTGCTGAGAAAAGGAGGCAAATTTATTACGTTTTAGCACAATAGTTGAAGGAAACTGGTAAAGTAACTGGATATGTTTTAGAAATTTGAAAATTAACAATGAAAGAGGAAAGAGACCCCAGTTAAAAGAAGAGTCCTGGCACAGTAGGTTGAAAGTATTCAGTTAAATAGATCTTCCGGCTCATTGGAAACCATCCAAAAACAGGGTAATTTGAGCAAACACACCCAAAGTGGTTTGTGTATGTAGTGGTTAAAAACCTTAGCATTGCCTCAGCTCTATGGAACCCATCAGAGAGAAATTGTTCTGGATCATCAAGCTACCACCCTCTAGTTCCTAGTTTAGTTTGGAAATGGAAATATTTAAAATAATCTATAAATATTTACGAAGAAATTCTTTTCTGGGTATAAAAATAATATATATATATATATATTTTTGTTCTGATGAAAGTTTGAAAGAGGTAGAAAAATACAGAGACAGCTCATGATTGTCCCACTATCTGGCAATAACTTTTATTAACCTTTTGGTGTATTTCCTCCCAGTCTTTTTTTTCTTTCTTTCATATTTTAAACATAGCACATATACAATTGTGTACATGTTTTCTTAGTCAGATATGCTGAACATCATCTAGCCTTTCCTTGATCTGGAGTCGCCATTAGGCACAGCTGAGGGTGTGGAGATCAATGCTACAGAATGTCTCCCCTCCCTCTTCCTTTGTTCACAGCCCAGCAGACTGAGATTTGTGGTGGGCAGGCAGGCAGCTTCCCACGGAAGGGCTGGGCTTGGAGACATGCTGTCCATGGCAGGTGGGCACCTTCCCTCACCATCACTCATGGGAAGTCCTGTGTTCTGTTGGGGGCTTTGATGTGTCCTGGTCATGTATATGTGCCGCTTGCTAAAACCCTTCCCACTCTTTCCAACCCAGCTATTCCTGAAAATCTAGGTGGCTAAGCTTTTGCAGATCTGAATTACTGCAAAGTTGATGATAAAGACAATACTAACAATGGGTTTTGTTTTCTGAATTCCTTTGTAAAGAAAAAGTGTTCATTTTTATAACATTCCACTTAGCAAAACTTGTTAGAATCATGGGGAAGCCAGGGAAAAAGTGCTCGGAGAATCTTCGTAGTTAGTATTTCTGGGTCCACTGGACTCAGGTTAACACATACTTGGTTTTGCGGTAGGTGCACCATACTAAGAGATTACTTCCAGGAAGCAGCCCAGGGTTGAGGAGCTGGCGTGAAATTGGAATGGGATGGACCTGGAATTGAATCCTGGTTTCCCTTTACACCTCCATATTATTTTCAGCAAATTATGAACTTCGATTAGCATCCATTTTTTCACCTATGACCCACAGAGGGGGATTCATTCTTCCCAGAGGTTTAGGGAGCTTCTTTGTGGAGCTCCTCGCACGTAAGTATGCTTCCTTCTGCTTTCCCTGGAGGTTTCTGGGAAGTGTGCAGAAGGAATACAATTTAGCAGTGAGGCAGTGAATGATAATAATGCTATACTAATATTTACCCAGATAAACACCTTGCACAAAACTATTTGTATAATTTTAATCAGCAGAAAATGTTCTCATACATTATGATTTGAGTTTTCCTTCCCTTATATTAAAAAGATTTGGATGAGTGAGAAAGTCACTGAATTTTTTTTCCTGTTTTGCTGTCAGAACATGATTTGATATTTGTAAATATAGGAATATACTACTTGCAGTGTATTTTTTAAAATTACGTTCTCACCACCCTACAGAATTTTAGGAAGTGAGAATGATGAGTGGAATTTGGCACTGAGGCGGGGTCACTTTGTGATTTGTGTTGACAAGATAAATACATTTGGGGGAAAGAGAGCATGATCTGAAATAAATGGGTAGCACTCGTGTTTCATAAGTGCTTGAGATATTCCTGGAAGAAAAGAAAAATGTAAATATTTTACTATTTTTTGCTCTGGCCGCAATTCTGAGGAGTGTGGTAGCAGCTTTTTACTATTTGTCATCATGTAAGGTGAGGAACTAGTAGAATTTGTATTGCAATGCTTTAAAATAAAAGCTTTATTTAAATATAGGGTCACTATGAGTTCGAATCGATGACCACAAGTTTTTGGGTTAATATATAGCAGAAAATTGCTTAACAATAGTGTAGAACAAGAAAAGGAATTGAGAAAATTTGCATAAAAAGAAGTAAAAAAATCGAGCAAAGTTCCTTATTTGTCAACTCCAGTTTTTAATCCATCTCACTGTTTACCCCACTTTTCTAAGCTTGATGCCTTTGCTGTGAATAAAATGATTCTCTTAAGTCTCTCTCATTTCTCCTGGTAAAGTACTTTAATTTTGCTATTAAACTCTCCCTGAAGAAAAAGACAGGCTGCAGCCTATGAAGTCCACAACACAATTCTGTCTTTAGGAATGAGTGACATTGGTTTCTTCAGCAGTCCCACCTGCCTTGAGGTGCATCTTGAGTGATACTCAGTATATCATTGAACAGAAAACTCAAACTTTGCCCCTATTAGCTTACAAGGAGTATTTATTTTTTTTATTGTTGTCCTTTAAGTGAAAGGTTACAATTCAAGTTAGTCGCTCATACAAGAATTTATACACACATTGTTATGTGACCCTAGTTGCTCTCCCCATACTGTGGCAGCACACTCCTCCTTTCCATCCTGGATTTCTGGTGTCTGTTCAACTAGCTCCGGACCCTCTCTGCTTTCTCATCTCACCTCTGGACAGGAGCTGCCCATTTAGTCTCATGTATCTACTTGAGCTAAGAAGCACATTCTTCACGAGTATCATTTTATGTCCCATAGTTCAATCTAATCTTTGCCTAAAGAGTTGGCCTCGGGAATGGTTTTAGTTTTGGGGTAACAGAGAGTCCGGGGGCCATGTCTTCTGGGGTCCCTCCAGTCTCAAACCAGTAAGTCTGGTCTTTTTACTAGAATCTGAGTTCTGCACGCCTCTTTTCTACAAAGAATATTAAGCACTAATTCTACTTACTAGATGGGGGTGGGGAATAAATGAAGTCAAACCCCTATTTTCTTTTCTTCCTTAGCCATCAAGAAAGTCAGATTCAGATTTAAAGTACTGTAAGTAGCATATTCCTATAATAGCTTTGTTATTTCATTCATTTGCTTCTCCTTTTCTTTCAATTTTTAAAAAATTTCTAAATTAATGGTCTTCCATTCATTAGTTGATTCAGTCATTAAACATCTTTTCTGGGCTAGCCATGAGGGCAGGAGGAGAAAAATATGTAAATCTCACAGTCTTGGTGGGTTGAAATCCTGTAAACAAAAACTACTGTTTATCCTCTCCACAAGAGGCTGGATTTGATCCAGTGTGAGCCCAGACCCCCATCTGTGGAGGAGGAAGATGATGAGGACCAGACACAGTCCATGGCTTCCTGTATGAGTCAAAGTTTGCCAGGCAGAGAGCTATGGGAAAGACTTTATGGGAGAGGCAGTAAGATGTATCTTTTGTGATTGGTTATTTCCATTTTAAGAGTAGATGGGCTGTAAATAAAAATTAAAAATGAATAGAGAAGTAATGGTGATAACCACAATGTGGAGGAGTTAGGTAATAGGCAAGGAGGTATGTGGTTAAGAATCCCAGTGAGTCTCACTGAGGATTGAATTTTAGAAAAAGGATTTATTTGCCAAAGCAGAATGGAGGAATAACGGCTGATGACTAGATGAAAACTTTCTCCCCACAAGAATCAGGAAATACAACTTCAGAGAAGAAAAGCCAGGCTACTGGCAAGAGCTGGAGATCTCTAGGATTCTACCACTTAAAGAAAAAAAGTTTAAGGATTTTTTTTTTAAACACCCAACTACTTGTGTGACGCCATGGTGTTGTTAGGTGCCATCTAGTCGATTCCAACTCATAGCAACCCAATGTGACAGAGTAGAACTGTCCCATAGGATTTTCTTGGCTATAATCTTTACGGGAGCAGATTGCCAGTTCTTTCTCCTGTGGAGCCCCTGGGTGGGTTCAGATTGCTAACCTTTTGGTTAACCATTGCACTATCAGGACACACAGGTTATTATTTAGCAAGGCTCTGAATGAAGAAGTTTCTCTTAATAAGTACCCCTCTCCCCTCTCCCCTTATTTTAAGACCAGTGCTTTTAAAAAGGGGTCTCAGGATTCCTTTACATTTTTTTTTTATTTTTTATATTTTATTGTACTTCAGGTGAAGGCTTACAGAACAAATAGTGT